TCCAAGCTTAAGAGGGGAAGAGGGCTGTTATGAGCCCCTCTGCCCAATCCCAGCACACTGCATATCTGCAAGAACTTTAGAAGATCACAAGTCTACTGCCATGGGGGCTGCCTTCTACACACCTGTGCTGTTTCAGATCCCTATTTCCATCACAGGCTCCCATTTCCACCAAAACTAGCAGATGTAGTGGGTATGTGTTTGGGCTCGGGCGTAGCATTGCATAGGTTTGCTTTGTTACTGGGCAGGTGGCAGTTTTCTGATGTACCATTGCATAGGTTTGCATTGTTACTAGGCAGGTTTCAGTTTTCTTATCTGTGAAGTGGGGATTTTAAAAGTACCTCCCCTATACAATGTTTGTGAGCTTTACTGTGTGATAATGCATCTGCAGTGCTGGGCACATGGCTGACAGAATAACGGATTAACCATTATTGTTGCTATGATTACTTTGTCAGCACACAATCGCTTTAAAGCTGCATAAATACAGTTGTTAGAAGAATGGACTCTCCCAGCATCCAGAAGATTCTAGAACATTTTGGGGAGGAGGAGCTATCCATGATCTTTTGATTGAGGGTGGTGATGAGGAGTAAAGCAAAGGAAAAACAGAATGTTTGTGTGGTGTGGGAAAACACCGAGAGAAACGTGTGTGTGTGGGTTGTATAGCGTGGGAACTTGTGTAGGAAAGTTTTAAAATGGTATGTAGTGGTATCAGATACGTGTGTTTGTCATGAACCATCAAAGGAGCGAAAAGGAAACAAAAACTGTTTTGCCAGAATAATGCTCATATGTATAATTATTTATATTTTACATATTTGTGCAAAATATCACACACAATGATTGTGCATATCATTGACTACATCAGATTCACTTTGCTGTGAACATTATTTAACAGCCACTTCGATAAATGTAGTTTTTAGTCAACTATGTGTCCTGTAGGTTAGTATGATGAGTACAGCATCTAAACAAGTATTTATCAAGTGCTTATTACAGGAGATACTGTTAATGTCCTGGGTCCCTGGACCCTTTTCATCATCTCTGTCCTCTCCCCACCTGGCTTCAGTGTGCCTTTGCTTTACTTGGCCAGCACCTACAGCTCTTCAGAGGACTGCCCTCAGGCTACTGGAACTGCCTTGCCTTTTGGTGCAGAGAACAGGAAGCGCCTACATTCCACCATTACCCTCAAGAGCCCTCAACCAACAGTTGGCATGGGGTTATGAAAGCTCAGCACCTTTGCCCTGGGCTGGGAAAATTCCGAGGCATAATTTATACTCCAGAGTTTCTGAAGCTTGCTCCATGGCCCAATACCTAAAATTGCTGCCCTGCTTCCATCGCCCCCTCCCCGCCCTGCTCCCTGATTTCCTTACTCTTTGATAAATGCTTTGCAGCTGACTCCTTATGGCTAGGTCTGTTCCTGGGGAAACTGAATTGAAACCACTGAATATATGTCAGATTCTGTCCTAAAACTGGTGTAAACAACTCATTTAATGCTCAGGACACTGGAAGGTGGTTATGATTCCCCTTATTTCGTGGAGAAGGAAATTGACTTGAGTAAACGAGAAGCATCATGTACTTAATCAGAGGTTGTTAGAGCTTCGTTGCTTTGCCTGCTTTCCTGCCGTCCTGGACCACTGATGTCTTATTTAAGTGGGTTATATTATCTTTTGAAGTACAGCCACCATCCTAGGGTAGTTTATTGGAACAAACAAGACTACATTTTAAAATTATTACTCATATAAATCTCATCATTGATGAAAGGTCTCACAACAATTCTCTTTACTTCAGAATGTAAAAGACAATTTAGAGAAGAGGTTATAAAACCATTTTAGTGTAGGAAAAAGAGTTACTGGGATACTGGAATGACTAGGAAGAAGGCCACTGCATTTAATAAGACCTCAGTGAGAGCACTGTATGAGGCAGATGAAGTTAAGGAGTAAGGCACTCTGGCCTCTCCTCTAACAAGCTTTGTGACTTTTAGCTAGTTATTTAATCTCCCTGAGCCTTAATTTTTCATCTGTAAAATGGAGTACTATAATGTCTACTTTGTAGGATTGAAGTAAAGATTAAATAAAAGAACAAAAGGACGTACAGGAAGTTTTGAGCACGATGCCTCACATACCGTAAGCACCAAATCAAGGTGGTTTGTTCTGTTTTGCTTTTCATTGAAACGAAATCCAGCACAGATTGTGTGGCATAACTCCGTAATTTATTGGAGAAACAAAAGTAAACATGGATGATGCTATAAACAGCTGCTCTCGGACCTTCTTACAGGCCGCACCTGGTATGTAGGCCCCACCCTTGAGAATTGCTGCTTTAATTCAGGCATGGCCTTCCCATTGTAGATATCGATCTGCCATTTTCCTGGCAATATCTGGAATGAGCCAAGCTTTTTACATTTTTCCATTTACCAGAGGGCAGTAATAGCCATAGTATTATAACTCTGCCCCGGAATAATCTGTTCCCTAGCCAAACATCTTGCACATATTCCAGGATGGCTTTATAAGGATAGTACAAACTTGGAGTTTCACTTTAACTCTGTATTTTGAAATTATTGTATATTCACATGCAGTTGTAAGTAATGATTCAGAGAGACCCTCGTGCCCTTCACCAGCTTACCCCAGTGGCAATATCTACAAACATCTAATTTTAAAGAGAATTTTTGAATAAGTATTCATGTTTTTCATTTATGAAAGGGCACAGAAAAATCTCCTTTGCTTTAGTACGACTACAAACTAAAAGAACAAGTATCTTCCTTCAAAAAACTTACCTGAGCTTCGATTTGGGGGATGAGAAATCTTGAGATACAGAAAGAGAACTTATATGTGCACATGCTTTGTTTTGCCCCAGAATTAGAACTAAGAGCCCTACAAGGATGTTTTCAAACTTGGAATGTTTCATTGTAAAATTCTTATGTCTCATTGCTCAAGTGCTGAGATTACTCAAGGGGTTAGAATTATCCACTTTTCCAGTCATAACCATGACATTTAAGACATCGTACCTCTTGTCTCTAGCAGAGGTGGCCCCTATACGAGGACCTGTTTAGGGAGGAGAGCCCTGTAAACATGTGGTAAGGATACCTGTGGCTGAGAACAAAAGCAGAAAAGCCAAATGCAGTCAGTTGATGCACATTTCCTCAGAAACAGCTATGGCAGAGGCTTTCCATTCTGAAAGGCACTGGGGTAGTGCCGTAGGGTCGTTCAGATTCTGCTTTCAACTCAGAGGTCTTTGGAGCTCACTTAATGGTGTTTCTGGGGCTGATTATACACAGGAAGTAGCTGTGTACAGTGTCTGATATGATCATCTGTTCTATGGATAGGATGGCGGTTTATTTATTTTGTGAAATATTCTGATTTTACTGTTAATTTTTAAAGTAGGAAATGTCTCTCAATTTCCAACTTCATCATCGTTCTCCCTGCCCTTTTTCCTTGAGTTTCTGAGCATCCCATCCTCAGCCTCTTTTCTGACCACCTTCCCATCTTTTCTTACTGTTCTCATGGATTCTCCCATCTCACTCTTCTTCCCTTTCTCTTCCTCTCAGTTCTCCAAAAATAAATAAAATAAAAAAGAGGGAGAACAAACAGAAACATAATTTACTAAAACATTTGTTTGGTTAAAAACCTTGCAATCATATGTTTAATTTAATTTCTTTTATCATCTTCCAAAATGCACGCCTGTGAGAGCCGTACTCCTGTTTGCCTACTGGGCATTTGTGGGTATTCAGTGGGAATGAAGCATGGTCCATTTATGAACAAACATCTGTTTGTCTTTATTTCTGGGCTTGATTGTGCCATTTGGATGAGTAGTTAAATGTATGTTAGTAATTGCCACTTTAAATATTTTAAACTAGGTAGAAAAAGGGAAGGTAGAAATGACTATTATATAAATCAATGTTTGGAATGCTGCCATAACATAAGGCTTGAGGAGTTAATGATGGGGGAGAAAGACTTTTTTAACCTCTATATCATCTGTGTACAAGGATGAACCTCACAATGGCTCACATGAGCCACCAGAAGAGACAGCTGAGTGGACAAATAGAATATAAGTTACCATGAGGTCAGCCCGAATTTAAGGAACCAAGGCATGGGGGTGCTATCAGTGAAAAAGAAAACCAAATGACAGGTCATGGAAGGCTTCAGACTTTACTGCCAAATAAGCAGCTAAGCAGAGTGGCAGTAGGAGGAGGTGGGAAGGAGGAATAGAGAGTGTGTGTGTAGTGGGTATCCAGAGATGAAGAAAATAGAAGTGGGGTTGTGACAGCACATCACATGGAGCTTACCTGTCCCTGATGGCCTGGGGCTAGTTTCTGAAAGGGCAGACTCCTCCCACCAAACAAGCCGTATGTTGTAATTCAATATCAAATGTGTCTGTAAAATCATTTGATGAACTCTGCCAATCCTATGGATATGACACTATGCTAGGGGAATATATTCATTGTCAGTTCAGCATGGCGTGGGAGTCTCTGTTATCATTTGCTGGAAGGAAACACAATGTTAAGTAGGGGGAAATGCAATCTTACAAATATAGCTACAGTTTGATAGCAATTGTATATGGGGCTGATTGCTTTTCAATGTGAGGAAATAGGCCCAGTAGGATTCTTCTAATACTCTGGTTTTGCCTCTGCAATATTTGTATGTGTCTGTGAGCAATATTATTTTTCTCAATTAAGGTATATGCTTGTAGCACTTTCAAAATGTGCTGGGTGTCCTTTTAAAGATGCAAGATGCTCCGTTTTATTCTCAGGGGAATTTCTGTGTACTATTACCCTGGGGATAGAATTCCTTAACATAAAACAATAATAATAGCAGTGAAAACCCTAAATACTCCAAGGGTGCTGCTCACACTTAAGCAGAGAAGCAGCGTAAGGTGTACATGTGTACAATGAGATTAAAAAAAGAAAAAACTCATTCTGTGTGGTAGTTTGTGGGGCATTGAAAAGAGGTCAAGAAATAGACAGTAAAAAAGATATGGAAAGGAATAATAACCATCTCCTGTTTCTTCTTTCGCAGTTCTGTTTTGAACCCAAAGTGGATGATGCCATCAGAGCCGAACCACTGAACAAAGTCTGTGAAAACTTCCCATCTTCTAATTGACCATCAATTAAGAGAAGATGGAAGACTCTTACAAGGATAGGACTTCACTGATGAAGGGCGCCAAGGACATTGCCAGAGAGGTGAAGAAACAAACAGTAAAGAAGGTGAATCAAGCTGTGGACCGAGCCCAGGATGAATACACCCAGAGGTCCTACAGTCGGTTCCAAGATGAGGAAGACGATGATGACTACTACCCGGCTGGAGAAACCTATGATGGAGAGGCCAATGATGATGAAGGCTCAAGTGAAGCCACTGAGGGGCATGATGAAGATGATGAGATCTATGAGGGGGAGTATCAGGGCATCCCCAGTATGAACCAAGCGAAGGACAGCATTGTGTCAGTGGGGCAGCCCAAGGGAGATGAGTACAAGGACCGGCGGGAGCTGGAATCAGAAAGGAGAGCTGACGAGGAAGAGCTAGCCCAGCAGTATGAGCTGATAATCCAAGAATGTGGTCATGGTCGTTTTCAGTGGGCCCTTTTCTTCGTCCTGGGCATGGCTCTTATGGCAGATGGTGTAGAGGTGTTTGTCGTTGGCTTCGTGTTACCCAGTGCTGAGACAGACCTCTGCATCCCAAATTCAGGATCTGGATGGCTAGGTGAGTGTGTGGTGTCATGGAGACCAACTCTGAAACAGGCTGATTTGTTAAGCACAGTTAGCAACATAGAGAATACTTTTCATCTAGAGCATTGCATTTTTTTCTAACAAATTTTTTATTACAAAAAAATTTAAGCATACGAAAGAATCAAAATATTTGTATAGTGAACACCTGTGTATACCTACCACCTGGATTCTGTAGTTAATATTTACTATATTTTCTTTATCATCTATCCATTCGATTTATTTTTATGCATTTAAAAGTGAGTTAGAGTGTGTTTTAACTTGTATTTTTATCATCTTTGCATTGGTTTCTCCTTTATTATGTTCTGAAGCCACTCCCTTGGAAGTTAATAATGCTGTTATATTCAACACAGCATTATTTCTAAATACAGAGATTAGTTCTATGAAGCTCTGACAAATAGGATTTCAAATTTGATGTGAATACAGTCATTTAAATATTTTAGGACCCTGATAACTTTAATTTTTTCTATTATCTATGTGTATGTTTGCTTAGATTTTCAATCAGTCTTATTCATAGAATTTTCTATAGTTGATTTTTTAATCTTTTTCAAGGTGTGTAACTTTGTGCCCAAACTAGAAAAACTTCATTTCTTTATATATTTTAAATCATATAAATATTTAAATTATGTGTGTTAAAAATAATGTGACCTCTCTATAAAATATCTATACAGAAGATTTGATTTTTGTTTTGAAGTTACCATGCACTCATGTTCATATTTTTACAAAGCTGTAGTTAGCACTCTCTGAGTTTGTGCAAGGGAAAATAAGTAGGTAAGAAGCAGGCATGCGGTGAAATATCCCCCAGCAGTTTAAGGATCCACTGCAAACACTTGGTATAGAAAATCAGGAGGATTCCCAAACTGCTCTTGCAAATCCTGCCTCAGAAAACATGCTTATGTGTCTATTAAATCTATGTGTTTCAGAGTCTATGAAAGAAAGTAAAAATACTTAGTACCTATGTTTCCTTGGGACTTCCTTAAACTAAAGCTTCAAAAACAAAAGTATACAATTCTTTTTGTGGAAACCTAGTAACTTTGTTAAGTAATGTTATTATCATTGATGCTGAGAAATTTTCTGGGTGATTAAAATTAAATGCCATATCCTAACTTGCTCTATGACAACACAAGAGAGACAATCATGGGTGAGAAAATGATATACATCTTTTTATTCCTTTAACACTTGTTCCTTTTATATGACCCACTCCTAGTATTTGTTTCTTTATGCTTAGCTAAAAGAAATGGATCCATGAAAGTAGATTGTGTAGGTTGAAGGGGTGGGAGTCAGGAGCATATTTTGCATATTTTGCTGATACACTCATTTGTGTGTTCCACTATCAAACGCAGATATCACCATGCTTCAGAGGAGGGTCCTTGGTCATTCGTCAAATTGGCATCTCAGCAGATCGGTTTTGCATCTAGCTCTGTATTTCATTTTTGTTTTTTTCTTTTGGTGAGCAAGTATATCCAACTGTAAGCCTAGACATCAAAATATGTATCGAGATTTTGCTGAAGGAATATATCAGCAGAATGTCTAAAGAAGATAGATCTTTAGAAATATATCCTCACAAATATTTAATAATTGCCAGCTTACACTTAGAATAAAAAATAAAAATATTTTAATGTTACAATCCTATCATTTATACTGGGAACACTACAGAAAAATCTAAGCCCAACTTGCCTGTGTGCCTTGATCTTCTTGGTGCTGTATGAAAGCACAGTATGACATATGGTTATCTTATCAAACTACCCTCTAAACCCAGAAACCCTGGTGATGTTACCCACCCCCAGGTGGCATTTAGAAGTGTAGATGATGCTGCAGCACAATTGGAGCCCAGATATTCTCATCTGTCCATAAATGTTGCCTGCTTTAGTGAATTAAAAATGTGTCCCCAGGAGTGTATAGTTTCACTCAGTGTTGTGAGTCCCCAACAGGAGCATTTTAATGGTTTCACAACTGTGCCTTCCAGACTTGCATTTCAATTATTTTGCCATTGTAATTTCACTCATAATTGCATTCATGCAGAGTCTTTTTAGACAAGCATTTAAATTGTTTTGCCATTTTCATTTCATCAAATAATAGCTTTGTAATATAATTACCACACTAAGTCACAGCAATAGGATCAAAATGCAAGAAAGCAGGGTGCATGACCCATGTTTGGTGGCATTTTGAGGATATAGATTTGCAAAATAATTTCTCATTTGCTACTAAGCATTGTGTCATTTTCCCCAAGGAAGACCAGGAACAAAAATATGACCCAATTTATGTTTTAATTATTTGGGAGATTGAGCCCCTCTTTGTGTTTGCTAAAAGATTGACTTAAAAGTAGCTAAGGGCATAAGGTGTGTGCATGTGTCTGTGTGTATGGTCTGTGTGTATATATAACATTGTTAATTGGGCCAGAAGAAGTTAGAGTAAATATTTAATTATCTAATGACCTGCTCTTTGGAAGGACAAGGGCAGTCACTTTAAGATAATCTGTTCTCTATTGCTAAAGTCTGTTTATTAAGCACTTATTTTGTATAAAGCACAGTATTTTCACAAGAATAATAGGACAAAAAAAAGAGAGAGAGACAAGGTTTCTCTATCCAAGGAAGTTATAGTCTAATATGGAGAAATCACAAATGGGTAGATTGCCAGTGTTGATACCCAGTATCAGTAGCCGTAGACAAGCGTAAATAAAGAGACTTTGAGCAGGGAGAACATGTCACAGAGTAAGGCCCTGCCGAAAGCGGTGGAGAAAAGGAATGCATTTCAGAGCCGCTCCAGAGGTAGAGTCAGCAAAGATTTGCTCACTGATCAGCTTGGAGTGGGGAGGAGGGGACCAATTAATGAAATAATGGCAGTTCATTAAATTAAGTAAGGCAGAGTACAGATTTTAGCAGGAGAGAGAAAGATGAAAATGTTTGGTTTGAGACCCTCTCATTCTGAGGTCCTTGGGGACAATCGTAGTGGAGTGCCAATGGGTTATTCCCCACGTAAGCTGAAATGCCCAGAGATTTGGAAGCCATCTTGTTTAAGACAACACTGCCAATGACCTTAACCAGGGAGAGAATGGTTTCCTGCTGAATACTATTTATGGAGCTGGGGGTGGAGGAGGAATCATTAGGAGGCAAAGGAGCAGCCAGAGAAAGAGGAGCAGTCAGAAAAAAGGGAGGTCTGGAAGTTGCTGGAAGAAGGAAGATATGTACAGCTTTCAGGTGCCGCAGTCTCGAATAGAGGCTAAAACCTCTCAGCCTCTCAGTCTCTCAGACCTGGCAATTAAAAGTTATTGGCTGCTGCAAACAGCTCTTAAGATGAATGCAGTGAGCACAATAAACACAATGAGCCAGACTAGGAAGGTTTTAAGCCTTTGTATTAAGTGAAGTGAAAATGTGTCCTCTGGATTCCCAGGCCCTGGTCACCAGGCAGGGTTTTCCAGGACATCAGGCATTCTTCCCTCCCATTTGCTGTGGCTTAGAGTGGATGCTGTGTAAGTGAGCCCTCTCCGGCCACAACTGACTTAGCTTTTTGTCCAGTGGTTGTTCAGGGGGGCAGAGTTGGTTCTAAGATTACCCATAGGCAGGAAGGATGTCCAGCCATTTTCAGCTCAGCCCTACTCTGACTCTAGCCCATTAGAGCAGAACAAACAGCGTTCTGGCGTCTCTTCCCTGGCGTCAGGGGGGTTGGCCTCTTGCTCACTGGCTTATTTCCTTCTAAGACCCACCCAGTGAAGCAGATAAATTAATAATTATTGGTTCAACTGCTTTATTGCTGAGGGTTACAAAGATGAGTGATATTTAGGAACCAAAATATTATCACAGCCAGGTGTTGACTAATACAAAATAGATGAAAAGCAACATATACTAACCCAAAATGGACTTTAATAACTAAACCTGAACTAATTAATAGTGAAGCATCCTGTTTTTCTTTTATCCTTTTCAGAGCAAATATCAATTGCTACCCCTAATTCCCATATGTGTTGGTAGTTTTCAGGACAGGAGTTTTAGCAGCATAAGTGAGACAGAGCCAGATTGCTTTGGGAAGAAATGTGAATGTTGTTGAGAAAAGTGGAGATAGCAAGCACATTTCATTCGCTAAGCATTAATTGAGTACCGACTCTGAAGCAGTCACCCAACAAGGTACATTAAGAGGATGTTCTCATTAGTATGTTGTGATCTTTGTCTATAACTTTTTTTTTAACAATGTGACAAATACGCTTGTGATAAATGTTAGTGCTTTATGTGTTTTTTTTTTCTATGAAAGAGATATTGAATGAAACGCTGTAGGATTGCCGAGGAGGGAACGACTAAGTTTGCCTTTGGGAGCTGATGAAAACCCACCTGGGAACTGACATTTAAACAGGGTTTTGAACCATGGTACATGTATACCTATGTAACAAACCTGCACGTTCTGCACATGTATCTCAGAGCTCAAAATTTATAAATAAATAAATAATATAAACAGGGTTTTGGGAGCTGAATAAGAGTTTACCAGGCAGATAAGAGGAAGAATGGCACTTCAGGAAGATGTTATAATTGCCCAGTAGCCTGGGCTTGGTAGGCAATTATGTGAACTTATGTGTGGCAGAGGTAGAAGTGTTGGAGCCGACAAGTCACGCTGTGGATATATTGTGAAAGACCTTAATGCCAAGACGGGGGTTGGATTGTATCATTAAATCATTAGACCTGTGTTTTAGAAAGCTACCTCTGGCAGCAGTATGGAGAGAGAATTAGATGGGAGAGAGACTTAAAATGTCAAATGGATATGGACTTTAAGCCACTTATTTGTGTGACCATTTGCAAGTAATTTAAATTTCTCTGTGCCTCAGTTTTCATATCTGTACATTGGCAATAAGAATACCCAATTAGATTGGGAGGATTAAATGAGATAATGTATGTATAGCTCTTAGCAAAGCATTGGCTATATAGAAAACGCTAATAAATGATAGTTGCTATAATAATTAATAGAAGTGTGAACATCAGGAGGCCCAGGCAAAAC